GTTTCGATTTCTGTCCTTAGCTAAATAGAAACCCTACGATTCTCGAATCGATTAGATGTTCTAAGGTTTTGATTTCTTTGCTTCTGTGTGTGTTTTGATTTAGGGTTTTGAGTTTGTCTGATCTAGGGTTTCAATTTCTTTGCTTCTGCGTGTTTCGATTCAGGGTTTCAATATTTTCCGATCTAGGGTTTTGATTTGTTTTCAATCTAGGGTTTCATTTTCGGGTTTTGTGTTTGTCTAGATATGTTTGTGTGAATTGATTAGCTCTCTGTCTCTTTTTGTTTTTAGATTTTTCTTTCGCTCTTAGTTTTTACTCGGACCTACAAGTGTTTTAATTTCTCAAGTTCTTCTCTGTCTTTTTTATTTCTCTTTGTCTCTGTATACAATGTTTCTTGTTCATTTGTTGTGAACAGATGAACTCACAAAGAGTACCTGAGAGTACCTGGGACAACTGCTACGCCTCCTCCTATGCCTCCTGGTGCTACTGGACCGGCTTCGAACCATGCTGCTTCCTCTTCTCGTTCCAATAGCTACCCGCAGATGACCCTCAATGCCATGCTCAGTTCACCTGCTAGGCTAGCACAGCCTCATCTCCATCCAGATAAAATCGATGGAGATTTATGGTATGATTACATCTGGTCTCCATCTCTTTCTTAGATTAAGATAGTTTCTGTTATTTAAATTATGGCTGTGATTGCTTAGAAGAGTTTCTGTTTAGGATTATTACTTATGATTGTTTATTTTTTAGGGTTTTTTGTGAATGTATTGTTTCTGTTACTGATGTTTGTTATCATTTTAGGTTTGGTATTGACCCATGTGTCAACTCTTTCATTCGGGCAACTTGGAAAGCATAGTACATGGGGCTTTGAAAGAATTGGAGGAAGGTTCCTGATGAAAGGAGGGACGCATGGTGGCACACGTTTGTGGTAAGTGACTAGTATACATTTTATATCCCACTTACATATTTTTATATCTCATACTGTTTTGTTTTCTTTTGTAGCAAAATTTCTATTGGGAGTCTGAGTTTAATGACTTAGTCTACGGTCTTTGGAAGAAAGAAACATGGACAACCCCATTGGTGACAGGATAAGCAAGAAGAAGAGGCAACACAAGAAGCCAAAGTATATAAATGAAGTTGATTGGAAACTCATGTTGGATCATTGGGCAACCGATGCAGCTAAAAAGAAGAGCAAGAAGGCTGCAAAATCTCGCAAATCTGATCCTGTGGGTAAAGGGTGCCACAAGCATAATGTAGGACCTAGGTCTTTTGCAAGAATTGAGTATAATATGGTATCTTTCCATGTCTATACTTTTAAATATTGTTCTTTTTCTAAAATCTGCTGTAATTATTTTCCTCTTTTACAGATGGTGGCTCCTGGTACTAATGAACGGCCACCATTCACTAACCTAGTCATGGCGACACACACACATGACCAGATGGGACCTTTGTGGACTATCGTGCAGAAGATCTGGTTACTCAAGCCGAGGTGAAAGCCACACTGAAAAATCACCTGGGAGTCCAAGTACATCATCTACTCCTTCTCGCCTCAAGTTAAACAAAGCTTATCTAAAGGTATCTTTCATACACACAATATATTAGAGAACCATGTTATGTTTGTGATAAAAAAAAACTTTAGCTTATAGTTTATTTATTGTGACACAGACACGGTCCTGGAAAAGAAACACTGGGATTTATAAGTTTTATGTTTGATTTGTATGTGGAATTAGATATGACTTAGAACTGCTTAAGAATGTGGTTTACAATGTTTATTTATAGTCTTGACAGCCACCTGAGTTTATTAAAAAAAATTATGTTATGTTCAACATAATGCAAAGGGTAAGAGGGGGAATGTTTATGGACTCGGCAGTTCCCAATACAGGGAGCAAGCACCTTCTTCACGCATCCCTAATGGTCTTGCCCGCAACTTGGAGCTGGAGATGCGTGTGGGAAGTCTTGAGACAAGCCTCCAAAGTGTAAGGCAGGACGTGTCTGAGGTCAAGCAGGATGTGGCCGAGATGAATCATGACTTTGCATCAACAAGAGATGTAATCAATGAGTTCATCCAAACACTTCGTCCCCAAAAAGCACCTCCAAACACTCAGTAGGAGTTATATTTCAGCCTTAAGCCCAAACTAGTCAGTCTTAAGTAAGTTCCTATCTTTTCTTTTGTAACAAGGTTCATCAAAATCTAGCTGGTCTTTTGGTAGAGTCTTTTTAGACTCTTTAACTATGCCTTTTGTAGAGTCTTCTTAGACTATTTAAAACTCTTGTACCTTGTTTAATTATCTATGTTTTGTAATGTTTAACCTACTCTTTTATATATATGAAACTTCTGTTTTTATTAAATGTGCAATGTTTTAATTTTTGAATGGAAATAAAAATTGTTCTAATTGACAAATTAAAACTAATCAAAGAAGAAAACCGTTTATAAAATAGTCACAATAATTATGGAAATGTGGCAAAAGAACACAACGTGAATAAAAAAAACCATGGCTTCATATAGCCACGGAAAAGTAGTGGCAAAACCGTGATAATCACAACCACTTTTATATTAGTGGGAGAACTGTGACTATAATAGCCACTAATTTTAGCCACATTATAGATTTTATTATTGTGGCTATATAAACCACGAAAAAAACCGTGGTAAAAGCGTGGCTAATAGCCACTATAAGCCACGTTTTTTTTTCCAGCCACGAGGCTATAGCCACAGTAGTTTTCCTTTCCAAAAGCGTGGCTCTTTTTTCTTAGCCATGAATTTTTGATCTATAGACCACGAAATTGTAGTGGCTATGCGATTGATTTTTACTAGTGTAATTTGAAAAAGTGAAAAATATAATAACACTTCAAGGGAAGTAAGTTATGCTTTGTAATTTTATAATAAATGCTATTAAATTATTTAAAATAAATAATTAATAAAATAGTTAAGATAAATAAGAATAAGGAAAGAAAAGACGTAATGAATTTATCGAAAATAAAGTTAGTTTAATTTGTACTTCAGTTTTAATAATATAGATACATAAATTTAAATTAGTATAAATCAAATTTAATTCTCATTTAAAGTTATTACAAAAACTAAATTAAATTATTAAAATAGTCACGCGAAACCAAAATCTAGTGTCTTTAAAACCATACATTTTGCAGGTGAATAATGTTGTATACATAAATTTAAAGTATACTGGGGTTTTATTCGGTTTAATTAAGGGTTTTTAGTAATAAAACCCCTCAACTAAAGATAGATCGTAAAAAAAACCCTCAACTAAAGATTTAGTGAAATAAACCCTCAACTTTAGTTCCGTTAATGTTTGTCACCCTCCGTCACAGAATTTTAGACAGAAGGTAACATACGTTAACATAACTAAAGTTGAGGGTTTATTTCACTAAATCTTTAGTTGAGGGGTTTTGTTAAGATTCATCTTTAGTTGAGGGGTTTTATTACTAAATGCGGTTA